TAAATCTATCTAGTGACTTTCCATAGAAGGTAGGGTATATCAGAGTTTTGACCTGGACAACTAGCTGATACAAGCTACAGGTAGGTTGAGGAAACCCTTCGAGATCAAGGTAATATTATCAATACCAAATATATTCTGCATGTATCAATGGCAGGTAGAACCGTGGCCTATATTTAACAGGGATATTATCTGGTACAAAGTACAGGTAGGTGGGTGAAAGCTCTGAGATCAGGGACATATCTTGATGTAAGTTTTAACTTTTGACTTTCCATAGAAGGTAGGGTATTACCGAGTTTTGACCTTGACTATTAGCTGGTACAAGCTACAGGTAGGTTGAGGAAACCCTTCGAGATCAAGGTAATATTATTAATACCAAATATATTCTGCATGTATCATTGGCAGGTAGGATTGTGGTGTATATTCAACAGGAATATTATCTGGTACAAAGTACAGGTAGGTGGGCGAATGCTCTGAGATCAGGAACATATATTGATGTAAGTTTTAACTTTTGACTTTCCATAGAAGGTAGAGTATTACCGAGCTTTGACCTGGACTATTAGCTGGTACAAGCTACAGGTAGGATGGGGAATCCCTTCGAAATTAGGGTAATATTGTCAATACCAAAATATATTCTACATGTATCAAGGGCAGATAGGATTGTGGTGCATATTTAACAGGTATATTATCTGGTACAAAGTACAGGAAGGTGGAAGAAAGCACTGAGATCAGGGACATATCTTGATTAAGTTTTAACTTTTGACTTTCTATAGAAGGTAGGGTATTACCGAGCTTTGACCTGGACTATTAACTGGTACAAGCTACAGGTAGGTTGTAGAAACCTTGCGAGATCAGTGTAATATTATCAATACCAAATATATTTTGCATTTATCAATGGAAGGTAGGATTCTGACGCATATTTAACAGGGATATTATCTGGTACAAAGTACAGGTAGGTGGAGGAAAGTCCGAGATCAGGGACATATCTTCATGTAAAATCTATCTAGGTAGGTTGGGGAAACCCTTCGAAATCAGGGTAATATTATCAATAACAAATATATTCTGCATGTATCATTGGCAGGTAGGATTGTGGTGTATATTTAACAGGAATATTATCTGGTACAAAGTACAGGTAGGTGGGCGAATGCTCTGAGATCAGGAACATATCTTGATGTAAGTTTTAACTTTTGACTTTCCATAGAAGGTAGAGTATTACCGAGTTTTGACCTGAACTATTAGCTGGTACAAGCTACAGGTAGGTTGGGGAAACCCCTCAAAATCAGGGTAATATTATCAATACCAAATATATTCTGCATCTATCAATGTAAAGTAGGATTTTTGCGTATATTTAACAGGTATATTATCTGGTACAAAGTACAGGTAGGTCGGAGAAAGCTCTGAGATCAGGGACTTATCTTCAGGTTAATTTTATTTCTGACTCTCCATAGAAGGTAGGGTATTGTCTTGGACTATTAGTTTGATGAAACTAGAGGTAGGTGACAAAAAATATCTGGGATCAAGGTTATTTTCTTAAATAAAATAAATATTGTTTCCATCCAGAGTACGTAGAGAAATGGTGGATATTGTACAGTTTTTTAAGCTGGTACAAGCTACAATTATCTGCGATCAGGGCTATATTTTCATGTTAATCTTGTAAAAAGCAAAAGAAGCGTATACTGATCTGGGATTTCAGATAGTAATTTTTCCAGGATATGCTAAAATGAATTCAGCATGCACATTCTACGTAGATGCATGGGAGAAACATTTTGAGAGAGCGTAATATCTTTATGTTTGATTAACCATTTGACTGTCATAGGTCTGTAAGAAAATTAGCCTTTTTTGCAGGAATATTAGCTGAAACATGAACAAACTAACGTAGCAGGCACGTAGGAACAGGGGTAGGGGATCCCCACCCGTTCTTTGAAAGGCCAGTTGCCCCCCCTTTTTTTGTTACAGTAAAGGTCAAATACGGATGGTGTAGTATTGTATTTATAAAATTTGGTACTGCAAGATGTTGTAATTACACCCCCCCCCCCCCCCCCCCCCACGAAGTAGGATTTTCGAGTTTGGGCAAATTTTTCTTTTTTTATCTGCTTGTCAACCGTTTCAGGTAAGTAGGTAAGTATTTTTTTTTCTCTGGCTCCCCCCCCCCCCCCCGCCTTTCAAAAACGATGCTTCATCACTGCGTAGATAAGAGAAATCATCTGAAATCTAGTATATATCTGCAATGTTAATTAATCTGGGACTGTCCAAAATATATAGGTGAATAGTGTATATTATGCTAGTTTTTAGCTGGTTTAAAGGTACGGATAGCTTGGAAGAAACCATCTGGGATCAAGACAGTATCCCTATGTTTGTGCGATGTAGGTTAAGCGTATTTTATGAGGTACTCTCAGATGATACATAATTCAGGGATTCTGGGATAATGACAACTATAACATCAGTTTAAATTGTCGCCCGTGTGGCGCAGTGGTTAGAGCGACTAAGTCTTGAGTCGTGGAGAAAGGAGTTGATCCTTTCGTCACGAGTTCCATTCACTTCACGGGACGTAGAGATTGGTTCTTCGGACGATACGGTATAAACAGAAGTCCCGAGTAGCGGTAGAAGAAAAAAAAATCCCACACTGCTAAAAAGGCCCAGAGTGCCAAGTTCAGGTCTAAATGCAGCCCTCCACCGGTAAATGCTGGTGTCTCAATATGAGTAAACAATCTCGAAGGGGCGTTAAACAAACAAACAAATGTCTAACATTAATCTGATACTTGTCAAAAATAGGTAGAGAAATTAGGTGCCTTGTTTAGAAATATATATATTTGTACTTTCGAGGGAAAAAATAGCTCGAAATCACCTAGTGTGAAATGTACATGAGCTAGAAAAGTTGGGAGTAGCAAATGACGAGGAATATAAGTTGATATATTAACAAATGTCTTGCTGTATTGCGTTCGGATATACCTCGGTAAACCGTGAGTTTTGTGTGAAAATAAAATCTTGGCGCTAAGTAAGACATTCAGGTAAAATAGAAAAAAAAACTTTTGAAATCAAAAGAAGATAGAAAATGTTTCTTTACTAATATAGGCATATTTCTCAGTAGTAGTTTAGGTATGAGTATATTATTAAAATAGAGAAAAATAATACTACAGTAATTTCTATCTTACAACTTGAGTCGATTTAAAAAAAATCCATCTTTCAATTATGGAATCGTCGCCAGCATGGGGCAGTTGTAAGAGCGTCTGCTCTAGAGTCGCGGAGTAAGGAGTTGATCCTTACGTCGCGGGTTCGAATTGGTCCACTGCGGGACGTGGAGACCGGTCCTTCGGATGAGACCATATAAACCGAGGTCCCGTATCCCACTATAGGTGCTGACACGAAAAAGATACCTCACTGCTCAATGGACCTAAGTGCCGAGCATCGGTCATCAGGGTTGGATTGGCTGTAAAAATGGGGGCGGGATCTTAAAGCAGCCTTTAGACATATGTTTTTTAAATGTTTATATGTAACGATACGTGCCTGTTTGCAGGGGATAATACCCCCCCCCCCCCCCCCCCCCCCCCGCGGATTTTCTATTCCCAATACACATAAACATTGCATCAATCGAAATACAAATGGATATTGAAAAAAATATATATATAATAATATAGTTCAACGAATTTTATTTTGAATTTGAATAAATCCACGCTTGTCATCAATTTATCCATATTTGATGATTAATTCAAATGGATACATTGTTTATATGGATTAGTATTTCTACTTTTACCTGTACGACTTAATATATAATTACCAATTGTAAATTGCCAGTGAAATAAATGTAAATTACCTGTGAATATTAATATTAATGAAGAATATTTCATTTATTTACGTATACATGTATTTTAACACATGTCGAATATTCCACGTACGAGTGAATATATCTACTACATAATGAACGATAACTCGTACTATGAACGATAACTCGTGTTCGCCTACCTGTACATTGTACCATCTAGCGTTAACCTTAAATTACAGAATTTTGTTTTACTTCGATGTTTATAATTTTCACTTTCATATGCATAAACTATGTATGTGCGCATATTTCACATAGCATTAAATAGCGATTATCAAGATAAACGTACCCAAGCCACAAAAAAACGTGTCATCCACGCGTATGCATTCCACTAATACACACAACCTTTGGCTTGCATAATTAAAATCAAAGTAAGCCATACATACACTTCGTATAATTATCGCGCTATTATTTGTTAATCACAGGAACACAGTTAACCCGAGCGTGACCGACAGGTGGATGTTATCAATAGAGCTTTCGGTTTACCTAACGGACTTGATCATCAGAGCGGAAAATTATCCTGACTTCGAGATAACACATGTGATTTTAATGAATGGGTACACAATTTTACTTCGAGATAACCGGGGTATTCGACATTACCGTGTTCGACATAGAGGGGTTTATTTTAATCATTTATAAAGCAAATTTCGTCGGGACTGCGGCCTTACTTCGACATATCCGGGGTATTCGAGATATCCGTGTTCGAGATTTCGAAGTGTAGCTGTATATATATAATATCATAAACTGTAAAACATGCTTATAATGAAGTTCCACAGATTTTGCTTCAGATCCCTTGAATTCACTACATATTTAAAAGCCATGGTGAATGAATATCACTTCCCAGTTAACATCAATTCATTATAAGCATGTTCACTGTAAGTGTGTATTTTACTGTATAAGTGTTTAAACTAGTTTTCAATGTTTATCAAATAAGAAAATCTATTGGAAAATCCTGTATGTAATGGTTTTTTTCAGTGTTGATTTGTTCCACTAAATCACACAAATCACTGTATTGTGATGTAATATATGTCATAGATTCAAAATTTACTATTGTATACTAGTGGTCATTAACCCCATGTATAAATTTGTATTTTAAACAGTAAAACTATAAATGATTGAAGCAAGTATTCATATCTTCACCCCAGGAACAATTCTTTGGATTTAACTGAATTAAGAATATTCTTACCACTGGAGATTTCCCTTTATCTTCTTTTTTGGCCTTTTGCACAACATCCTGTCAAGAAAATAAATTCATGAATAAAATTAATAATAAATACACGTCTATAAATAATTTTTGGCATAATTTCTTTGAAAAGAATGATTTTAAGTATTCAGTATTTTAAGTACTTCACTATTTCAATTATTAATGACTACAAAAAATTTACTCCAAACTAGAAACAGAGAATGTTCATTTCGATATCCTTGACCTCATGACCTCCACCTTTATTGAGTGACCTAATTTTTTTGTAGGTATCTTCATTATTCCCTGCATGTGTAGTAAGTACAAAATCACTAGACATCAGTTATTGCATCACAAAAACCATTGACAGGAATATCAATCTTGACCTCTTGACCTTCACCTTTGATCGAATGACACCAAATAAATAGATACCTTCCATTATTCATCTTTTATCCTGTAGTTAATTTAAAGCCATTAGATTAAAACTTAACACAATTATGGCATCAAATGAAATCAATGAAACACATCAGTAATGTCTACTTTTTGACCTTGACTTCAGGTTCAATGAGACCAAAATCTAAGGGCAACTTAATTCTTTGACAATCTTCCACCTACATAATGAACAGAATAGAAAGTCATTTGGCTGAAAAGTACATATGTACTCATATTGTTGCGTCACAAAGTGTTGATATAAAAATAGACGGATTTACACTGTATGGAAACCATATCAGAAATATGAGACCCTAAAATTTTAAAAATAGCAGCACATACCCATTTCTCATCATTGACATCTTTTTCATTCCACTCTGGCCATATTAATGCACGAGGTCTCTTAGAATCAGCACCTCCCGCACTGGCTGCTATAGATGCCGCTCTGTAAGTTAAAAAAAGTCTTTCATCTAACACCTATGAAATAATTCCCTAAAAAAAATTTTTTTTTATAAAAATCTACTTAATCAATGTTATGTTTAACACTCTCCACATCTTTAACAAAGGTCTTTGTTGTATAATCATGCACTAAATAATTGACACCTTAGACAAAGAGAAAGTTAATGAATAATAAATCAATAGTGATATTGGGGAAATGAATAATGAAAGAGATTTAATGCATTGGAAAAATATTTACAGGTAACTGCAAACTTTAGGGATCAAATTAATATGTATTGATCCGGAGAAACCAATACTGTCACACAATGATGTAACTAAGTCTGTTACATTGTTATAATAAGACTCCGCTATTTTGGACTACTTTACCTGTTTTGAGGGACACACATGCCCCCTGTAATATAAGTATTCTCTCATTCCTTCAAATTCTACATCATGGAAGACTGTCAAGTTTTATATTCACACATTATCTGATTTCATCCACTCAATATTATGCCTAATACCAGAAAATGCCAGAGGATACTCAAATTAATTAAAAATGTACCTAAAATTTCATTTTAAGAATCATACACTTATTCTGAACTGCTGCTGCAGCTTTTTTTCTTTCAATTCTAATTTTACATCTATAATCCATCTTATATCTATCTGTCAGGATATCAAATTCTGTCAAGTTCATTCAAATTGGTTCATAATGTGTAATTTCATCCACGGAATTTCAGCCTAGGGTAGACTGGTGTGGTTAATTTCCAAGAACAGCATCTGTAATTCTGTATCTTTAAGCGAGTCACACAGAAACAGAATGGAATTAAGTGTCAATTAACATGTTAAAGTACAAGACCTGATCAGAAAAGCCAGAGGCTGGTAAAAGTACAGTTACTGTCTATTTTTTAACAGGAATGAATCACAAATGAAATGTCATACAAGATAAAACTGTAAAGCCTCCTAGGAGCAATAAACACTTCGTAATCCATAGTTAAATATTTCTGCTTATGCTGCAAATATCCTCAGAATTTTTTGCAATACCTTTATTTTCTTAAAATTCACTAACACAGAAATTTCACACACAAAAAAATATCCAAACCATAATTAATAAACTGATGAACAATTATCCAACGTATGTTAAAAAATCACTCCATCTGTATCAAGTTGTGTTTCCTGATGATGGTATTTGCTTTGAGCAATTTCATACATTGTCCCTCTTGGAGTTTTGTCCGACTTTGAGACAAACCTCTCTCCCTCCCCATTTTATAGATTCTAGCTTCCTAGCCCAGTGGAGGATTGATGTCAGACCCACCTGAGGCAGCTACCTGATCAATATTAATGGTGCTTGTCAATTCCCAATAAAGTCAGGTAATTAAAAGACCTCAATCAATATCTCCAATGACACAGCTCTATGGGTCTGTCTGTAGTATATATATGGAGTATTACAGGTATGACAGAGATGGTGACCAGGATAAGGTCGCTCCTTTGTCAGGTAACAATGTAAGCTGAGGTAATCAGCAACAGGTGCCCTGACCAGCAGATAAAGGAGTACAGCAACAGAGAAGCATTGTTTATCCAGAGTATCCCTGCCATCGTAGAAATCAATAACACAGAAAACATTTGACAGTCGCCATTAACTTGGATTCAGGTAGAAAACGAATGCCATCGATGAAATATAAAATTATCGCTACTGTTTTCCTGAAAACTGATTATCAAGACAGTGGAAGTTATGGGCAATTTTCTGATCAATAACTGCCCTCAGTAGGAAAGAAATTGAGTAAAACAGCAATAAATAATACCAAGGCCATACTGGACAAGTGATATAATTCAGCTCTGATTTTAAAAACAATAGCAAACTCTGCTGGAACAATCACAAACTATTTTTAACTGAATCAAGGCTTCAGTTATAACCGAGGCTTATGTTTCAATCACTCTTAATTATATATCAAATCTAACAACTCAGTTTTTGCCTGTTTGTCTGTCCTGGATTCTTTTTTTTTAAATTTAAAGGTGCTTATGTCATGGTACATGCTTAGATCCAAAGTCATGTTTGACCAGCTTTAACAAGTCCCACTCAGAGCAATTCAAACTACTTGATTAAGTACTTCACCCACACACAAAGGAGATTTAATCTGCAGATCACTGTCTAACAATAAAAAGAGAAAAAATTCAAATACATCATCAATGAATTCCCAAACATTAAAACTGTAAATTCAAACAGGTGTAGGATCTGTCAAAATAACCTTTTTCCCCATATCTTTGAATTCACAATTATTAAGATTTTTCTCATAAATCCACAAAACATGGCATAAGCTTTGTCACAGAAAACAGATCATGCAAAAGTAGAAAACAATGAAGGACAGAATTTAAATATAGAAATAAAGTGAAAAAAAGTGAAAGGAATATTCAAGCAATGATAAAATAAACATATATAATGAAGTATTATTTAAAAACTTTCAAAATAAAGGCATAATTGTGGTAAGGAATAAAGAGCTCTGAACAATTTGACTGAAATAACCAGCTGTTGCCTGGGTGTTATATTACTTGTTGCTGCTGATTTTGCCATGTGCTCTCGATGCTACATTCTGGAGCTGTTTCACACTCTGAATCATGGTAGAAATGGAACTATGTGACATATCTTGAAACTTCAAAAACTAACTGTGACAATTTAAGGAAAGAGAAGAGAAAGGAAAATTAGCTGGATAGAAGAACATGTTAGGTGGCTGCATTAAAAGATAGAAACTATAGAGAGGAAACAGAAACACAATACATTTCATATAATTATGTAAACAAAAATTGTGTGACAATATATATGCTGAAATAATATGCAAGTCATACATGCACAACACAGGATTAAACAAATACCTCAGATAGTAATACATGCATGCACTATATTTAAAGACAAGGGACAAAACAGAATTAAATGTAAAATATGCGCAAATGCCTGTATTCATTTCTTATTTGTGTGTGTTTTAGTACAGTATATATTAAATAGAATGAAAAGGAAGCTAAATTATAAAGTACCTTAAATATCTTTATATAATTCATGTTGATAGTACCTGGATTTTGCACTAATTTGCTAATTCTGGCACCGCTACATTTTATAACTTTCAGCTCAGAGCGTCACGAGTGCACTTTCAATACGTGTTAATTATAGCATATATCAGGGACCTATATACTAATATCAATATTAGTTAGTATATAGGTCCCTGCATATATACTGTAAACGATTCTAAGCACGAGAAACATAAAAAATCAACGTCTCATATCCCAGTTTGTTTACACTAGACTCACTAGTGTAGATCATATGCCCTTAACACTGTTAAAGCATATGGAACTAGATTAAATAAAAACAAATAAACAATCATATGCAATCATATATCTGTTATCGGTACATCATTTGACATAATATGTCAGCCATATTGTAACCAATGAAACTTGTTACGAACACTGTATATACTTGATAACTTACTCCCTTGGGGTTGCAGAGCTAACTCTGTTTGTAGATGTACCCTTTTTGCCAGCTTTTGAAGCCATTCAGATGATTTGAGGCTTAAAACACGTTAATTGTCACACAAAACATTAGAATTAGATAAGAAAATCGGTTGCCACGATCCTCTGCCGGATGTCAACACATGAAAATATATGCCGCGAGAGGACGCTTTTAAAGGGAGCAGTTTGTATTTTACAAGCAGACGACGTAAACAACCTAACAAAAACCCGCTGTTAATCGCACCAATTTTTAATATAAACTGACTAAATAAAATAAAAGAAAAATATATTTGTTAACTTTTAAATAAATAAATAATCACTGTAATTTTTAAAACTATTTATAATAATTATATTTTAGGTAGGGGATAGTAAATAATCTTTTTTTTTCTTTTAGGTTTGAAATTGAGAATTTTTTTTTTTTAATAAATTATTGTATAAGAAAATTTCTAACGGAGAGTGTCAAGAATACCATTTGTTAAAATTTTTATTTATGATAGTTTAATTCTATTGTGATATTCAATGTAAAAAAAATATGATTTAAAAAATCCAAATAACGGAACCATTCACAAGCACGAGTCATAGTACAAAAAAAAAGTTAACCGATGAAAGACGTTAAAAAAGCCCTCACCTAAGCATAGAAAAAGAGGGTTCTCAACACTTCTTCCTCAGATTTCCGGATGTCTTAATAAGTATACCCTCAGAATAGATTGGAGTGATCAAATATCCCGTAGAAAAATCGCAACAGAACCGGGTACCATTGATTGAAATCAAAATAATACATATGTTGCATAGTAACTGATATTGAATTTTTAATTTGAAAGAAAACTTTTCTTGTTGTAATACGCTATATAATCGATCGTTTCAGGGGATCACCTGTGTAATCTATATCCAATGTGCTTTTTATGAAAAAAAAAATGCACATATATGCATGTACAATTTAAATCAAACACAGACTGGTCATTTAATATTTCATCCGAATATTATAAAATTATATCGTGGCGTTTTTGTTCTGTAGTTGAATATCCCGTCAAATATAATGGAGGGTAAATCAATACACGTATATTCCATAATATTTAATTAATTTATTCCGTAGTCAAATTTCATTATCGTATTAACGATGCAACATTGATCAAATAACCGAAACAAATTGATTTTTCCCTTGTATAAATTTTCTCTGTTATATTTTACATGTATTTCATTCAAATAATAAAGTATAAAATAGCCAAATATATCCCTTGTTATTCTCCTTCAAATATTACTTCAGATTCAATATTTGATCACTATTACCAACTCTACTCGATGGGCCCTATATGAGCATCCCGTTTTAGAGGATTCTGTAGCGGAATCATAAATTTAGTTCTTTACAATAGCCGTTGAATGGTTGAATGCTTTAAATTTGTTAACAAATTGAGAAACTCTTCCGTTTGACAGTCTTTAAATTATTGCCTCCTTTTGGGGGTTTAAAATACAAAATCTAAAAAGATTGACAGTAAATTATGACAACTTGCTGAGTTCGAGTTTTATGGCTTTGGAAATTGTACACACACAAAAAAATAATCTGTAAAAATATACCTCTATGTCAAGTTTAAATTCAACGCTTGTTGAAAAGTCGTCAAAACCTTTTATTGAAAAAAATCTCGATACAACACATTTTTTTCATAATGGGCTTTTAAATTGCAATTAAAATCCTTGATAGTGATATTTCCAACTAATGTATTTTACGAATGTCGACTCTACACAGAACAAACAGATGGGTATTTGGAGAGAGAGAGAGAGAAAGAGAGAGAGAGAGAGAGAGAGAGAGAGAGATGTACATGTACGTGGGTGCGTTTGCACCTGCCCAACATCACAGATACAAAGTTCGTATATATATATATATATATATATATATATATATATATATATATATATATATATATATATATATATATATATATATATATATATATATATATATATATATATATATTCCAAACCATTAAAAAGATAAACAAGATCTTCTTCTAAACCAACAATTTAAAGGACGCTGAAAAAACAAAATCTTATGTCGACAAAATTCAACCCATTGCGCATATATAGTACGAATATATATGATATAAACCCTGTTATCAAAAAGGCCAAGAGACCAATTAATCTCCGAATGATTGAATGACAAACATAAACACAGGACAAGATAAACCAAATATTAAACCGCATACATTTCTTAAGTCGGGGATAAACCAAACATTATACTGAATACCTTTCTTTAATCGGAGATTCCGTTCGCCCTAGTGACGGGGAGGAGGATTCATCTCGACTAAGGACTGACCCTCTGCGGGATTCCGCTCCTCCTGCCGACGACCCCGCTCTCGTTTCTCGGGTGGCCCTTGCAACGTTAATTGTGACATCATCGGGAAGGTCAGACAGCGAGGGATAGAACTTTATGGTCTTATAAAACGTATCCCCCTCACGAATATCCCCCAGTGACTGCCTGTATGCCCCTCCCAAAAGGTTACCGTCCTTCAGTGACACTCGTTTGGAGGAGGAGGACGTTTTTTTGCTGGAGGCTGGGGTAGAACCTCTACGACTCATCCTTGAAATTACAACCAAACTTATCGACACCTGGTTCACTGTCTCTAGTTTTACGTTATTGCTATCAATACCCCAGCAGTTACAGATTAAATCCGCACTTCATGTTTCAATAACTGCAATTAAATATATAATTGGACGCAAACTCGAACTAAAATCCGTTTTTTAAGCTAACGAAGCTGAACGTGACAATGAAAGAGCAAATGTATACATTAAAGAAAACGAAATTCTATCCACAAAATATTTCAAAAGGGAAATCCACCTGTCAACTAACTCCACACGTAAGAATTCATAAGCCTCACGCACTATTCTAAAACAGTTGTTCTTGACACATTTTTCTGAAGAGAACCCGGGTAGTTGTCATGTCAAACTTAATAAACGATCCTTCATTATGTGAAAATTGTTTTCCAATGTAAGTTCCTGATCACTTTCGTTCAGATATGGAAAGCATATCCCCAATTAAGTTGTCAATTACACGGGAAATAGCCAAAAATTGCCTTGTTAATGTACGTTTTTTAAACAACAGCATCGACGTAATGATTCAATTAAGCTTATCATATTCAAATGACTTCATTCACAACCAGAAGTAACATAGGATCCAGTCATCTGATCACATTTCCGACAATTGAAAATTCATTTCGGAATCAGCACTGCTTACCCCCAACAACGTTATAAAAGCAGAGAGATTTTCCTTTTAATTCCAAACAAACACAAAAACACAACTAAAAGTCTCATCCAAATATTTGCTTTCGGAGTCAAAGCTTCTACAACCAGTTTCCCCGCCAAAGCTAACCAGTTTCACTTTTTTTGAAAGGTAAACCGTATTTGGAAATCAATGGTTGTTGTTGACATATCTATAGCGAAGCACCAGGTCTTTATTACCTTCTCAATTAGCCGCAGAATATACAGTATGGGACCGAGTCAACATTCCGACAGAGAAGGCCTCAATTCTAAGCCAACACTTGACGAAACACTCTATTGCAGGGACTTCTAAGAACTCTGCGTCTCCTTGAAAGTTGCAACACTTTTTTGTATCCCCCCAAAAGGGTCAATATGTGAACGATTAACAATTGGCCATGAATAAAATATGCATCGGTGGCAAAAAAGGTAATTAGGAAAGGGTGAAGAGAACCAAGAACACCTTATTTACATTCTAGAGGACCAATCGAAGGCGTTATTGTCAAATACCACGGGAGTTATAAAGGAACTTCACTAAAGAGTCAGAACACTTTCAACTTTCACAATATACATGTATGTAGAAAGTAAATAAACAAAGAAATATTAATGTTTTATCTGAAATAAATGAAAGATTCCTTTGCGCTCAACAACCCAGATTTCATGCCAAGAAATAATAAAATGTTCCCGACATAGAACCCGTCACTGGCTATGATCTAAGCGGGAGGGAAATCCCTCGTATTGTTCTGAGTCTTGGATGGGATTTAAGGTGACAAACGACATAATCGCATTGCAAACAGAATAGGGAGGTTTTATTGTTTTCTGTGTCTTTCCATCGACTTTTTCCTGGAGAGAGCCAAGATGATGATCATACGGCTCTACCTCTTAAAGATCTAACAACCCTGCCATGATGAAAACACGGAGACATTCAATGTGATTTATCAAAACTAAACCTCGGACATTTCAAGAGAGAAATTTATCAGAATTAGTGTAACTGATTTTCAGGGCAAATCCCCTTCTCACACCTTAAGGTATCACTACCGTCTTGTTAATCCGCATCATTAATATAGACGTGTCTCTATCGGGGAAATGTCCGTGATTGGCAGCATTTAAGGCCCTTTATTGATAATGGTTTCTGCTGTAAACGCTGATTAATTTCTATTGTTGATTTATTATTTTGAATCATGAAATAAATTAATTAATAATTAAATAAAATATAAAATATAATTGCGTTATATGCAGGTGCTTTATCACACACATGTAGATAGACATTACAGCATTACTGATTCTCTACAGATAAGACGAAAAGGAAGGGGCCGTTCCGCCAAATTCATTTTAAAATGACGGCAAAGTCATGTTCTGAAGATAGTATATTATGATAAAAGTTAGATCAAACAAACAAAAGAGATTGAAATTCAATTCGGCACTTATACCGTAAACACCAGGGTATTACAAGCATTCCGTCCACATTGTGTACGCCAAGTCAACAAAATTACATTTAATCTATGTTTGAATTACTGCTTAAATTCCAGCAATCTAGCATAGCAAATCTGACCTGAACACAGATTGATAGTCAAGAAAAACTCGGGGGAAAAATGAAATTTTGACACTTTTTTCAAAACTTGCTCGTTCATCTCCCTAAGCCATCCATCAAAGCTAATTGGCTTCAATGTTTCTTAATAAATGGTTTAAGTAATGTAAAGCTAATGGAATAGATGTCAGGAACTGTAGTTATATAAGAAATTAATCGGCGAAAGATCAAATTTTACTTTAATATTGGATTAAATATACGGTAACTTTAAAAGTTGGTAGGATAAAAGTTAATGTTGCTTTCAAAATTGAAATGGTTTTAATAAGATATGGTTGTAGTAAATGAAAAACTCTGTTACTTGTGTCCCAAATTGTCAATATTTA